AGACCCGCTGGGCAGCGAGACTCATCTCTACATAAATAAAAAAAATCAGCCGGGCGTGGTAGCGTATGCCTGTAATTCCGGCTACTCAGAAGGCTGAGGCGGAAGGATTGCCGGAGCCCAGCAGGTTGAGGCTGCAGTGGCTGGGAGCGGCCACTGCTCCAGTCTGAGCGACAGAGTGAGACTCCAACTCAAAAAAAAAAAGAAAATCTTAATATATTGGAAGAAAGAAAAGTGTTCCTGATTTAGTGTTGTAGGTATAATTTTCAAGTGGTTTATATTTTTCATGAAGGTAGGTTATTGTTATGTTCATACTGTGTTCAGGGTCTAGAAAAGTGCTCGACATGTGAATTGTTCATTAAATCAATTATTAATTTTATTTTCATTACATTTTGTTGTACCATCAGCTCCATAATAATATACCGTAAGGCATTAGCACAGCCTATCAAGAATATCATACTTGTGGAGTTTAGGTAAATAAAATATACCGCAAATTCTGACGACATTTGAAAAAGAAGAGTTCTATAACTGTTTTGAGGTTTATACCTTCCAACACTTATTTGGGTTAAGTTCTGGGATATATACTTTACTATAGATTATTATAAATACTGTAAGCCCATATAGGGAAAGTGTATTGTGCTTAATGCAGGGATTATTATTGTCAGAATAATAGTGCAGGTATATAGAGGAAAAGTTTTCCTTTTTTGAATTTATCATCCTGTTTTAGGGGAAATTGTCAGATTAATCTATACCTCTTACCATGGTCTTATAGTACAGAAGGATTCAGAGAGAGGAAAGGTGGGAAAGAGGAAGGAGTGTGTGTGTGTGAGAGAAAGCATGTTTTGATGAAGTCTATAATTAGATAGAAAAGGGAAGGTAAGAATTCTCAAAATGTGCTTGACAGGACTCGGCTGCCAGATGGGGAACTCTAAGGGCAGAGTCCCCTGCTTGATCTTTCCTGTGTCAGGCTGCTGGGCCATTCCTCAGACAGAAAGTGACCCAAGAGCCTGACTATGCTGTTGGTTCTCATTTGACTTTTTGCTTTATCTTCTTTCCATTTTGATTCTTGTTTGAATTCGATTAAAACTTTAGAAGACTATCTAGAAGTGAATATAAAAATTTAAGAGTCCTAGTTTTTGTTATTTGTAATTTCCTGGCTTTTCCCATTTCCCTGTTTTTTATTTTAAAATCTTCATGCCTGGACCAAAGGAAGAAGGAGCTTCACTTTCTGTTTTCCTCATTGTATGAACTAGTGGTAACTTCAGATTTCTGTTGCTGACTTCTTTATATCTAGTTAGTTTGTGTGGTTGTGATACTCTGTTTATTAAGTGTAGTTTTTATTTATGCAGCATTTTGGTTAGTTAATATCTTTCATTTCTTTGTCTTCTTTTTTTTTTGAGTCAGCGTCTCATTCTGTCTGTCACCCAGGCTAGAGTGCGGTGGCGCAGTCATGACCACCACAGTCGCAACCTCCTGGGCTTAGGCGATCTTTCCACCTGAGCCTCTCGAATAGCTGGGACTACAGATATAAACCACCACACTTGGCTAATTTTTTTATTTATTGTAGAGATGAGGTCTTGCCATGTTGCCCAGATCGGTCTCAGGCTCCTGGGCTCAGGCTGTCTTCTTGCCTCAACCTCGCAAGATGCTGGGATTACAGGTGTGAGCCACCACACCTGGCCACCTTTTATTTCTTTAACATACTAGATATAAACCTCTGTATTGTTTGAAACCTTACATTTTGAAGTGCATTTAAAGAAAACCTGAGGATTCAAGTTTACTAGTAGATAAATGAAGGGCACAATTTATACTAAAGCATTTACTTTACTTTGCAGAATTTTAATAGAATTTTAATAGAATTTCTGTATAACAAGGGAGAGAGGTGGGGGAACCCAGCATGCTTAAATGAGGCCCATTTTATCTTGTTGAAGCCTCAAAACTATCTTAGGATGTAGAAATCATCTGGTTTTACATATGAGGAAACTGAAGGCCTGGGATTTTGAGTCACCTGCTCAGGATCACACAAATGAAAACAGAAGACTAGATTGCAGACCTAGGTCTGATTTATGAACAAAGTATGATTTTTGTTTATAAAAATGAAGTTTGCAGAATTTTCAAAACATAATTATCATAAAGAGTGAAGTCCATTTTGAGCAAGTAAGTTGTTCAAGACTGACTCTTGGAAGAGTGTTGTCTGGCTGTTTGTGTTGTCATGGACTCAAAATGATAATCAATCAACTGGGTTTTAGTGGTAAAAGTTAAACTGAGCTGAAAGCCATCCAGAGATGTCACAGACCAACATGTGTCACTTCTGTCATTTACATAACAGTTTAGTTTGGTATGTGAGTTTCAAGTTTGTGTTCCTGAGATCCAGGTGCAACCAATATTCTAGAGATGAGGTTCATGGCAGGAAGTATTTGAGAAATGTGACAGAAAGTTATTTAGAATAGCATACATAAACAGATGGTGACTAATAAAGATATTTGTCAAAAAGATTTGTAAAGTGACCACGAAGTCCTCAGGCATTGGTATTTATGTTGTAGAATGAAAAGTAGGGACATCGTTTCTGTTTTTCAAGAAGTACTGGAGTCCTGTTGTCCTGCCTTTATAACTTTGGGTAAGAAAAATGTATCACTTTCATTCATTCATTCATTCATCAAGTTCATGTACTTAGATATTTGCCTGCCATGCTTTGTGCTATGCTCAGGGAATACAAGTGATAATCAATATTACACATCTCACCCCTTAGAGAGCTTATAGTCTGAAGGTTGAAAGAAACTTATCGACTAAATACACAAACAGATATAAAATTGGAACTGTGATTGCTGTGAAGAAGAGGCATATAGTGCAATAAAAGTCTAACACCCCTAGGGGGAATTTGCCCTAGTCTGAGAGGAGAGAAGGCTGCCTTGAGGAAGTGTTGCATCCTCAGAGATCAGACAGGTGAGTGGACTGTGACAGGCCGAGAGTCATGATGAAGAGCTTCGTAGGCAAAGAGGGTATGGTGAGTATTAGGGTAGCCTGTTTGTCCTGAGCACAGAGAGTTGGGGAGAATAAGGCTGCAGAGGTAAGGGTTGGACTATATTAAGGAGTTGTCTCTTCAACCTGTAAAGAATGGGAAATCCTAAGGGACTATTAATAATCTGAGTATCCATTCATATTTAATCAGCAAAGATTGTTTAGTCACCTACTCTGTCCTACTTGTTATTCTTGAGGTTGTACATAAATTTAGATAATCTTGTTAGGCGCAATCTAGCAATGTTATTTTTAAATACAAACATGAAGCTTGTAGGCAATACTTGTTTGCTAATAAAGTAAAAATGTTTCCTACTTGTCTTTGGAAGAAGTTGTTCATCTGTTATGTAATAGTAAAATAAAGTAAATTTTGGACTTAATTTTGTTCTCTTTCAGAATCCCCAGAACTCTGCTTCCTTTCCCATTTATTATTTCAGTGTAAAATTGTTCATTTATGTCACTAAAGCTTCATTAATATTTTAATTCTATTGGGAGATTTATTAGCCATTTTACTTAAGTAAATCTGTTTAAATTCTATTGTAATGTGCTAAAATTATTTAAGAATCTAGATACTTAGGAGTGTTGGAGGAGAGAGTACATTTCTTTTTTGGAGTTGGAGTCTCACTGTGTCACCCAAACTGGAGTGCTGTAGCATGCTCACAGCTACCCTAGCATCGACCTGCTGGGCTCCTATGATCCTTCCACCTCAGTCTTTCAGGTAACCGGAACTACAGGCACGCATTACCAGTCTGGCTACTTTTTTTTTTAATTTGTGTAGAGATGAGGTCTTGCCAGTTTGCTCGGGCTGGTCTCAAACCTGCGGGCTCAGGCAAACCCCTCGCCTTAGCCTCCCAAAGGGCTGGGATTAGCCACCTTTTG